CACAAAGGCGAGGGGGAGCAGGGACTGTGGTGAAAGTGACGGCTGGCTGAGGGCTGGAAAGGGTGAGAGGTCACTCGAACTGATGGGCGTTTGCCGGGAGCATTTATTTTTCTCCCAGACAGTGGGTCAAGCATCTTAGGAAAGTGAACCCACATAATGCGGTGCTATCGCTCTAGGCCGCTGGCGGACAGTGAAGCAGGACATTTAGTTATGGTGATCTCATGGGACCTGCACAGAAAGTGGCTGCACATCTGCCAACAGATGTCAGCTTTCAGTAGAGCTGCAGAGTGGGACAGAAAGGAACAGAGATTCCCAGACAGAGCAGAAGGGCACTGCTGACTTCTGTGCGTGTGTGTGCATGTCCCTGTGCATATCACGGCATGCACATACACACATATGTTGATGCATGTGTGTGTTTCCATAATTAAGATACACAAATGCTCAGGTTTTCTCCATACAGTCCATGGCAATAAGTACAGATGATTGATATCGCTGTACAGATGAGAAAGCTGATGCATGAGGAAACCTCAAAAAGGTCAAGGATAATTGAATCAAGACATTTTGGTGCCAAAAGAATTAAAATCCACACATCGTTAGTAATATGTATTTCTCCTGAATTTTTAAAGACCTCCTCTTATGTATGGATCTTAAAATGTTTCTGCACCAAAAAATCATCTTTTAATACCATTCCCACCAACTTTTTGAAGAACCCTCATAGAATAAAATCAATATCTGCTTCAGTTCTCTTCAGCTGGTTCTACATTTTTATAATACATATCAACCCCTCTAATTTACAAAAAGTGGTTACTGCATGTCAGCACCAGCTGGGGATGGGGGGTGCTGGCTGGTCCAGGGACACTTCTACTCAATTATGTGGCAAGGGTAACACGGTCACCCCTACAGTCTTGGGTCCTGCCCTGCCAATCATCCACCTATGACCTCGTGTGCCAGTCATAATGCTCTCTACACCTCAGCTCTCTCATCTGCCAAATGGGCAGACAACTGAGGCTGCCTGGCAGGGCTGGGCGAGCCGTGGCCAACAGTGGATGAGAGCACAGCTCCTCCGCACACTCACGCGTCAGCTCCAGCTGTGTTCAGGTCTGCATAGCACACGGCTTCTGAGAACAGCAAACTGGCCTCTATTAATAAAATAAAGGCACCAGGGCTCCTAAAAACTCCAGAGGGCCTTTGCTTTCAGACAGTGGGGCTTGGCTCCCACAGGAGCAGAGAGGAACCCGTGAACCCTCCGCAGGGACAGTGAGGGCCCACTCTGAGGCTGTGTGCGTGTGTGTACGCACACATCACCATCTCTGCCTCCAAGATCTGCAGCGAGTGCACAGTGCACTGAACTCTCACGTGGCACGCGTACAAGAATGCATGGTTTAAGCCCTGCATTTCGCTAAGGATGCACATTAGTTTTGAGTCTGGGAAACTTCAAACTACTTCGATTGCCTTCTGTGTTTTGTCTCGTTAGGTAGAGGCGAAAAAGTTCCAGTTCTTTCTCTGGGCCAACATACAGCGTGTGTTTTAATCAAAACAAGAAGCAGGCTGTGAACAGAGGGGAAAACCGGGGAGCAAAAAGCCCGGGTGACAGAACAGCACTGCTGAGGCCGAGCAGGAGGGGGCTCTGACATGGGCACCCGGCCTGCAAGCAGCTTCTGCGAATGCGGGTGCTCTTCCCACCCCACCTGCTGATGAACCAGGGATGAGGCTTACAGGCTGCCAGGGGAAGAGCTTCACAGAATCCCAAAAAATGCAAGCACCGTCTTGGGAAACTACGTTTCTTTATACGTCAGTGAAGGATCACAAGGAAAACGTCTTCATTTTGCAGCTTTAGCATTTAGTATAATCTCCACTCACTCCTCAAAGAAGCCGCTAACATTCATTGTTCCTAAACAGCCAGAGTATCGTCAGTTCAGTATGTAAGAGGTGATCTCTGATTCTTTCTCCGTGAAAATATTAAATGAGAACAACACAGTTCTGGCATGTTTAAGGTACTAAACCCAGAGCAAACAGAGCTCTGAGAAAATAATCTACTGTGCTGTAGATGAGTAAAAATAAACTTAAAAGGTAGAGTCTTTAGTCTCCAGTGAATCAGGGCTTCTCACTCTCAAAACTGCTGACATGTGAGGTCAGGTAATTCCTTTCATAGGAGGCTGTCCAGTGCACTGTGTGACACTGACAAGCATCCCCCATCTCCACCCATGAGATGCCAGTAGCACTTGCCCAAGTATGACAATTAAAACTGTCACCTGCTACTGGCCGTAGTTCCTGGAGAAGACAGAGAGGGGCTACCGTCCCTGACATGCACCACTGCAACAAACCAGATCTCCCTTAGAGAGGCAGCAGTGTACGGTAGCTAAAGATGGATACTCTTTTTTTTTTTTTTAAGTTTATTTTTATTCATCTGAAAGGCAGAGCAAAAGAGAGAGAGAGACAGAGACCTACACAGATCTTCCACCCATTGGTTCACTCTTCAACTGCTTGCAACAGCTGGGGCTGGACTACACTGAATCCAGGAACCAGGGGCAGGAACTCTGGGTATGCCATGTGGGTGATGGGGACTCAAGTACTTGGGCCATCATCTGCTGCCTCCCAGGGTATGCATTAGCAGGAAAGTAGATCAGAAGTAGGGGCAGGACTTAAACCAGGGCACTCTGATATGGAATGCAGGGGTCCCAAGCAGTGGCTGACCCTACTGCACCATAACGCCCTCCCCTAAAAGTGATTACTCCTGCACACAGAGTGCTCCTGATCCATTGGCTGACTCTGGACACTATCTAAGGTCTTCATTCCTCAGACTCCTCATCTGTAAAGTGAAGACGATAATGGCGCCCTCTCCATGGGACTATTGTGAGCATTAAAGAAGGTAACACCTATCCCAGTAACTGTCGGCCATTATTATATGTGTTATCAGTCCCATACAATTTCAAAACCCGACTTAAACTTAAACGCAGGCTAAAGATACAAAGAGTAGAAGCATATTTAAGGGGGAAGTTTGGGTACAGTTACAGTTACAGATGGATATCTTTATTTATATTTCAAAGTGGTCAAGTTATAGAGCTTCAACTATTGCATAATCCTGTAGGCTACTTTGCTAAACAGCCTCAGTTATTGCTTCGCATATTTTATTATCTTTCAAGTGGAGATTCCTAATTCATCAAAATTATGGGCTTCTGCCAGATGATTCTTCTGTAAATACAACTGCTCTGCTGTGTCTGAAAAAAGAAAGCTTGACACCATGCCTGGTCTTTTCCCTCGAGGTCTTTCTTCACCATTGGTCATATAAATATTATTGTATTATTCGTTGAAATAATAACAGAAGCTACCATTTTTAAGAGCAACTTGCTGTGTGCCAAGCTAAGTGTTTCATGTGGCTGATTTCACTCAGGCCTCAAAACAATGATGTGGGTATCTGGGAGAGGTGAAGTTCATGTTCCCAAAACACTTGCCAGGTAAAGACCAGAGCAAAACAGGGGCCCAAGTTGGCTGCCTTTAAGGTCTTTGCTCTTGAAACACGACTTCATTATAAAAGTCAGAGAGCAACCACACAACTTGCAATCTTAACACAAATTTTCCTTTCCATATCCCTTCCTTCCTACCTACGTCCTCCATGCTATCACTTTCCTTGCTTTTCCCCAGTCAGGTCAAAACACCCTGTGAAAAATGCACATAAAAACCACACTCTGGCTCTGGGCACACTAAAGTCAAGCTCACTGAATGAGAGAGCAAGAGACAGACACTGCAGGATGGAAGATCTCCTCACACTGGTTCTAAGAAGAACTGAAAAAATTGTCTGGAAACTGAAATAGGAAAAGGTGGTGCTGAAACCTCATCCAAAAGAGCATGTGACGTTTTCGGGTGTGATGATCATCCTATTTTAATTCGAGTAGGAGCAGAGGAATGAAGCTGCCTCCAGAGGCTGTTTCCACTGGTGACCCCAACCTCCGGGCCGCGAGACACAAATGAGAGAAGGTCCGGACGGTGAGCTTGGAGGTCCTGGTGAGCTCAGGCACAGGCATCCACCTCGTGCTGTGGGGGCTCTCAAGGCTGCCGTATGGCAGAAGTGGCCACGTGGCCCAGCGGGGGTCACAGGAGGCTCTGAGGGAGGGGCTGGCAGACAACCACTGAGAGCAGCCCTGCGCTAGCCTGGAGGCAGCAGCATGTTCTGGGCGTCCTGAACTCACACTCACCAGCCCACAGTTTTACAGGATTTCACCTGGTCAACACCAGATCCTTCCTCAGCTATCCTGACAGTGTCCAGTCTGTGCTCTGCTACCCACGCTGACGAGGAGGGCCTTACTAACAACTGCCAACAGGGCTGTCCTTCTGTCTGTCCTCATGAATTTCAGAATGCAGCCTTTGGAACAGCCAGCCATCTAAGAGGACTGGAAATTATCATTCTAATAATTATACCCATAATTAACCTTATCAAAGTACCTACCACATAAAGGCACATTATAAATGGACTCAATAATTTTGACAATACTTGAACAGATTAAGAATGGCAGGCAAGGTAAGGTCAAGTGCTTTGCCTTCCCAAACTCATCCACTTAAGGAAGACTCACTTCTTGGTCTAGGAGACCCCCAAAATCACAGGATTTCTGCTGTCAATTTGTTTTATTTTAAAATGTATTTATCTGAAATGCAGAGAGCACCAGACAGATAAAGAGAGCGCTATTTTTTCCACTGGTTCACTCCCCAAATGTCCCAGGGCTGAGCTGGGTGCTGGGAACTGGGAACTCAATATAGGCCTCCCACATGGGTGGCCACCACTGCCACCCCCTGAGGTCTGCATTAGCCAGAAGCTGGAGTCAGGAGCCAGCACTGGGCATCCAACCCAGGCATTCTGATCTCAACCAGTATCTTAACCACGATGCCAAACGCCTGCCATGCTGTCAGCTTCTTACATGGCTGGAAGTGTTGAAGACACACAGACTGCCGTAGTGAAAGTAGCCATGAAGTTGAAGACAGAATAGTTTGCAAGCAGTACTACTTACAGATATGTCATCGCTGAAGTCTATTTCATCCAAATCAAGGTATTCAGGGGCTTCCATTATTCTTCTTTGCACATTTTGAGTACGGTCAAATACTTACAAACTCCTGGACAAAACAAAAGCAGAAAAGGCAAGAAGGTCAGCTGTCTCATAACCCACGGTAACATTTATGTCTAAACAGACCAAGGGGGAGGGGCACCAGGTGCAGGTGCTGCCTTGCAGCCCGCTTCCCCTCGTCACTGCCCCCACCTGCTTGCTCTCCAGTGAGCACCACAGCCCCTACTTGATCTGTTCACCCTTGTCCCTGCCAGACAGTAGCTTGGTCAGAATTTCCCCCCGCGGTGACTGCGGGGACTCATCCCAGTCCATACCCAGCCTTCGCGCCACCCTGGGAAAAAGCAGGGGCTTCGGAGATGGGCAGCCAGCCCGGCCACCCCAGAAAAACCCTATTCACATACTTCCTGCAGGAACACTGTTGGAGGCTGTGCATGGCGCAATGAGTACTGGGACTCCACAGTCATAACACAAGCACAAAACAGACACCAACGAACCCAGAATAAAGAACATTTTAGAATTCGCACTGTAACCTCCATCCCACCCTCCAAGCAAAGAAAGAAAAAGGATCTAAGTCTAGATCTAAGCCACGGAGTTATCCAAGTGTCCTCTGCCTCAGACAGCTTTGCCTGACTGTGCCCCAGAATGTCCTGTGCATTCTTCGAGGTAAGACCCACCACGTTTTCCTGTCACTGATCATCACCCCCACTGCCAGGGACACCCACAGATGTCAAGAACAGAAACACAACTCCTGGCAGCACCCCAATGTGCAGATATCTTCCACTGAGCCAACGCTCAGACGTCGATAGACCATTCCATCTCCCGCCACTTGTCTTTTCTGTAAGAGTTGTCTTAAACACCCAGACATGAGTATCAGAAATAATTCACTTTGCCCTCTCTTCTGGTTCTATAACCACAGTGTGCTTGCAGAACTCTAAGGAGCTTATTAATGAAAAGTCAAAGTTCATCGAGGCTGAGAAAAATGGGCTTCCCAATAAAAGATCAGGAGTATGGAAGATCCTGTCTTTTACAAGGAAATTCTTATTCTGAGATATCACTTTTGTATATTATAGAAAACAAATAATGAAAAAGTCCTCATACCTGAGACCCATCTGACTTAATCCTCCATGTTTCCTCTCCTTCCCTTTCCACATGCATACACCATGTTTACAGTTTTAACTACAGAGGGTACAGAAGCCACCCAGGAAGGATTAGGATGTTACTCCATGCTTAAGTGAGACGACCCAGTTGGAATAAGCAGAAGTGCTGAGGGACAGACATTTGGCCCAGTGGTTAAGACGTCACCTGGGACACCTGCATCCCACACTGGAGTGCTGGATAAAAATCTCGGTTCTGCTTACAGTTCCAGCTTCCTGCTGACGTGCACCCTGGAGGCAACAGGTGATGGCTCAAGGACTTGGGTCTTGGCCACCCACAAGGGAGATGTGGATTGAATTCCTGGCTCCTGGCTCCTGGCTTCAGCCTGGCCGAGTCCTGCCTATTGGAGGTGTTTAGGTTGTGAACCGGAATATGGGAAATCTTTCTATGACTGTCCCTGTCTTTCAAGTAAAATGAAACAGAATAAATTAGAAAGTTCTTCTAAAATCACAGTAAAGTTTAAAAAGAAAAAAAAATCAATGTGACTTGTAAAAAATATTTAAAACTGGGATTTACACCAATTACAGAAATCTAAAAATGAGTTCAAGCAAATTTTTGTGTACAAGAATTGATTTATTTTCCTCAAATCCTCAGAGTGTTTCAGAGGAAAACACAGGCACTCATACTTGCAAGTTATTTTCAAGAACTTTCTTGTCCTTTCTGGTGAATTCTGGGACAACCCAACCCTCTGGCTTCCAGGTTGTCTGCGATCAGACTTTTCCAGCCCAACTTCTTTCCCCCATCTGTCCCCCACTGTGGGCTGCTCATCTCCAGACCCCGTCCCCACGGCCTTGATGCCCGACACACAGGACGCTGGGTGTCCGGCTGGGGTGCAGCACTTGAACACGGAAATACAAAGAAACCAAGCAGAAAGCATGCATAAGCTGCTGTCCCAGTTGGTCTCTAAATAAGTGGAAATACAAAACGAAGCATGAGGTTATTTCAGTGAGCTTGTGGGAAAGTGGAATTATGAGACAAGGCACATTTTCTGTGAGCTTTCTGAAGACTCCTCCTAGCAAATGCAGATGGACACAGCTCAACTGAGCAAATGAACAGAAGATCACTGAACCTGGCTGAGCTGCCGCGGCGACAGAGCGCTCAGCATCCAACGGGCACCCCAGGGAACACGGCTCACAGATGACACACGTGACGGTGAAGCGGGCAGGCCTTGCATGTGCACTCAGACGAGAGGTGGGGCTCTCTCCAGGCCAGGTCAGGGGGGCCAGGACCGTCGCAGCCACTGCTGGGAGGCCCAGGCACAGCTCCTGTCTGTCCTAGTGGGCTGGATAACCCCACCCAGAAGCAGGGCATCCGCGGCTTCCCTTCCCTCCTTCGGAGGCCTCCAGACTCAGCCCTGGTTCGCAGCCTAGACCCAGTTCCTCTGTCTGACTTCAGTGCTCCCCTCCCAAGGAGCACTTGCACAGAGTTCATTTCTTGCTGGTGCCTGCAAACCCCCCAGGATCCACTAACCCCAGCGTCCTTCCCAGGAAAGCGTACAATGGCCAATGCCCCTCTCTCCTTCCTTACCTGCCTTGCCCTGGAGCTCCGGGCATCCCTGAGCATGCACCCAGGAAGGGACAAGCCCGACCAGGGCAGCTGCCACGAGGAACAATCAGAAAGATGGAGCCCGAGCTTTTCTCACCGGCTCTTCTGCCCCTCCCGCCACGCCACCCAGGGAACCTAGGAGCCGCTGCAGAACAAGGCTGCCCGGCAGCTCCAGGGGGCACCCACAGGAGGCCCACGAGGCCAGTCTGGCCCTAGCTCTGGGCTGAAAACATCAAGTCGGTTGCCATCCTGTAGGCTTTGGAGGATTTCATATAAAAATATGGATTTCCGGTTTCATTTACAAAATATCCAAAGCTCTGGCAACACACGCCCTCCTCTCCCACCCACGGCAACACCAGCTGGAGCTGAACAGCTGGGCCTCCCACCTGGCTCATGGCTGGGCCCAGGCTGCTGCACCCATCTCGGGACAAGAAAGCATCTGAGAGTCTGACCCTCGAGAGGAATTCAGTGCTGAGCTCTAAGGACCAGGGCCACTACCCCCATCTCTACTGGTGCCTCTTGCCAAAACACTGACTTCATCTGTATTCTCAGATTGAATTCGTATTCAAGGAGCGTTTCACATCTACACGAGCAACAAAACAAAACTCCCTGCACATGAACTACCCACGCGGCACTGCTTTGTGCTCCTCTTCCTAAGAGAGAAAGAAAACCTTTGCCAACGCAGTAAAATGTTACGAGGCAGGGCTTATGTTTCCTCCGCTTTACAACTGGAGGAAGGAAGGGCCCTTGCCTTGTCGTGACTAGTGTGGATTTACGTGGTGCCACTCCACGGCTATGACCAGAGGGGACGGGAGGAAGCCGTGCCAAGCGCAAGCTCGGGAACCGCCCACACCCATCATCAATCTGGCCGGGGCAGCGGCAGGGAGGCCAGTGGGCTCACCTCCTGGGGCCGGCAGGAGTGGGCAGCGCCCAAGGGGAAGACAGGCTTCAGGCTCCCCAGTAAGGACGACCCAGCCCAACGTTCTGCATGACAGAGTTTTCCTGCTGTGCACCGCAGCTGGCTTCTGCTCCCGGTCAGGTGTGTGTGCTGCACCCTCACACCGGCAGCCCTGACCCTGGACGCTGCAGTCACTTGGCCTGGTTCCCGGGTGTCATGGGGACTTTGTTTTGTAGAGGAGTCCCTCTCCCCCTAAATCCTTCTCCCCAGGTCTGTTCTCCTTGAGGACTGACTGCTGGCTGATCGGACCCTTCCTACTGCAAGCCACCTGAATTTCTCTTCACTGGTGTTTAACTGATCACTCACTGAGGCAGGTGTGCTGTGTGCACATAAACAATTTTTCAAAGGGGGCAGAGTGAAGATGCAGACTGGCCTGGGAGAGGGAGAGTAGACAGAGGTCAAGGGACTATTTCTCAATGCTGCAGCTCGCTCAGTGTGCGTAGGAACACTGACAGAAGGGCGATGAGTAAAGTATCAGGACGTGGGGACAAAGAGCCAGGGCTGGGGCCTGTGTGCCGGGCGGATGTCATGGTTGACTCCTTGGTCCCCGTGGATGTGCCCCAGGCGCAGGGAGAAGCCTGACCCCAGCTGTTTGGGCAGCTGAGGAGTGACACAGAGAGCATCCACATACGGGAGCCCGGCAGCACTCTGCCGCTCACAGTCTCCCAGTGCCTACAAAAGAGCAGGTGTAGAGATCCAGCCCCTCAGGGTCCATCACCACCAAGACACCTTCTCCCGGGAGACCTCGGTCTCGGCCCAGCTGCCTCCTTCAAGGGATTAGAAAGACAGCCGAGTCAGAGCAGAGCTGGGGAACAAAGACAGCGCACCCAAGTGAAAAGGTGGCCTCTCCCCCCACTTCCAGACGATGATCTCCTGTTTGATGCTATTGCTTTTTGGCTATGACTTGAACACTGATGTCAGAAAATCATCCCAAACGGAGACTTCCAAAAAAAATCTGTTGCGTAACAGCAGCATTGCTGGCAAGAGCGTGGAGTGGCCCACAACAGGTCGAGAAACGACACTCATCTTAATGTACGCTTTCTGGTGTGCTTGGCTCATAAAAGGCTCCCTGATTTGTGACTCCAGTCACATATCACATAAATTGCTCCACTGAAATTCTTGTTAAAATGTATTGCCTCACTCGGTTTTACAGGGAGTCAGCAAGGGCTTATTCTGAAGGCTCACGTTACACAGACTTCTCCTCGGCTGCCAGAGTCACCGCTGCTACGGTTACCATTTACCACAGGCCCGATAATTAAAAATAAGCCGGTCTTGTCAAAGTAGATGAGCGGCGTGCACTCCGTGATGAGGTCAGGGCAATCCGGCCACACCACCATATCTTCACTCTGTACCCACCAACACTCAGCACAACAGCCACTCCCTGAACACACGTGTGTGCGCGCACACAAGCCTGCCAGATTTTGCATCGGGATAAATTTCCCATCTCAAAGCCTTGCCTATAGACCTTGACCTTGCTTCCTCCAATGCAACAGCTCAAAAAAAAGAAAAAAAATTCACCAACTCTGTCTGCACTGGAAGGCCTGGGTGGAAATGCTGTCCCCAGCTGGCTCAGTAGCTTGCCTGGCAAGGAAGCAACTCATACCAAATGCCGGATTCAGTTTCTTTCCCTCTTTGATTCAACGGTGGCCAGAGCATGGCAGTTGCTAAATGCCGTCTTGTGGCAGAAAAACGATACAGGCAAGGCGTTTCAGGAGGCTGAAGGAGAGCCAGCCAGCATCTGTGAGAGAGAAAGCAGGGAAGCATAGGGACTATGGATTTTTGCCACTTCTCTCTTTATGGAATATTCTGGGTGTCTGAGCTGGGCACTCTGCACACCAGGATGGGGCACACAACGCGAGAGGAGACAAGCCAGACCACAGTCGCTGCGACAGAAGGAGCTGCCTGCCAAACGAAATGCACACACAGGGCCCCAGATGCTTAATCTGGACCTTGGAGACAGGGAAGTCTGCCTGGGAGAGGCGGGAGCTGAGGCTGGGAGCTGAAGCAGGAGACTGGAGGGTCAGGGGAAGCGCCCCAGCAGCGGGTACAGCACGCACGAAGGCTTGCTGGCGAGAGTTCTGCACTGGGACTTCCAGGAAGATGGTAACAGTGATACAGCACCAAACGCAGTACTTCTGCTTCCTGAAGGTTGAGGGCCAGGGTATGGGGAGACACAAAAGGGTACTTCCAAAGCCGAAGAGTAAATAGAGCACAACTTCTTGGAATATCCGCGTGTCTGGCATGCTTGGTAACATACAAGGGAGTGTTTGGTATCACACGGCAGGCTTGGACGCTTGGACGTGGTAACCTGGGGCAGCTCCAGCTCCCAGAGAGGAGGACACACTGCTGAGCTCCCTGCCTGTGCTGAGGGGGCCCCCACAGGAAAACCTCCAGCAATCTCTGCGCAGGCTGGGGGCTGGGGGCTCCCAATGAGACTTGATGGCTCCCTTTGCCTCACAAAGACCCTGGGACATGAACTTCCTGGATTCTCCTGTGTGGGGGTTGGGGTTGGGGGGAATGGGGAGCAGTGCTGTGGTGTGGTGGGTTAAGCCCCTGCCTGGGATGCTTGCATCCTGTGTGAGCACTGTTCTACTTCAGATCCACCTCCTGGTCAGGCACCTGGGAAGGCAGCGGATGCCGGCCCAAGTCCTTGGGCTCCTGCTACACACCTGGCCATCTGGGGAGTGAACCTGCAGATGGAAGATCTATCTATTTCTTCCCCAACTCCCTCTATAACTCTGCCTTTCAAATAGACAAATAAATCTTTTAAAAAAATCTCAGAGATCAGGAAACTAAGGCTCAGAGAGGTTCTGTAACTGTCTCATCTACACACAGCCAAGCTTCTAATTGAAGTCTAGCTCTTTCTTTCTTACTTGTCAAAACCGCAGTGTTAAGCAACACTGCATCTGTGTCATACATGTCACGTTTCCTACTCATCTTCAATACTTTCTATAAGACTGTCCATTATAATTCTGTGAAGGGAGAGGGGGGTATGCAGCTTGATTTACGACTTGCACTCATACCCTTCCTACTTGACAGATGGAAAACATTCAGAAATATTCTGGCTAATGTTAGGTCCTACTCAGAGAGAAAGCCAGCTAACAAATCGCTTCCTGCTAAATGGGCCAGAGCCCTCCCAGTTCACCCACACTGCTCCAAGTCCTGGGAGTGACACTGAACCACTGATCTCAGAATGCCATCGATATCCTTATCCCTGAGTTGTACTGTGATGAGTGTCCACGAACCATTACTCCAAATTCTTCTTTCAACAGAGTCTACACAGAAGCGGGGTGAGGGGGTAGGTATGGGGCACAGTGGCTTAAGTTGGTGCTTGAGACATGCACATCCCATGTCGCAGGGTCTGACTTGAGTCCTGGCTACTCCACTTCCTATCCAGCTTCCTGCTAATAATGCTCTTGGAAGGCAGGAGCTGATGGCTCAAGATCCTGAGTTCCTGCTGCCCCGCGGGAGACCTGGGTGGAGTTTCTATGCTCCTGGCTTTGGCCTGACCCAGCCCCAGCTGCTGTAGGCATTTGGAGAGTGAATCAGCAGATGGAAGATTTCTCCTTCTCTCTCTCTCTCTGCCTTTCAAATACAATGAAAGTAAAAAAAAATTTAAAAACAGAGGTGGCAGGCAAGATCATCACCATTAAAATATACAGACGTTTGTATACTTTACATACCTTACCCACAGGTACTCCTGAACTAGTCTATAAAATGCCACTTTCCACAGGTGGTCGATTCAACACTTTAATTCATCTTCAAAGGAAAGTGGATTAAGACTACGCTTCCTTATGCCTTACCTTACAAGGCAGTAAGTTAGCACTGCACCAGGGAACTTGATGTGAGAGGCCAGGATCATTCCCGTCTTTGGCAGTTCTGAGGCATAATTTATATTTTAAATTCTTCTAAAAGATTTGGGGGTAATTTCAATTTCGGAAATCCGAATGCTGAGAATCAACTATCTTGCACTAGGACCTCAGAGTCTGGAAGGATCTCAATTTTTTTAGCCTAAAGAAGATGTACCCATTTTTTTTTATAGCTTTGAATCTCTCTGTGTATATGTGGAATTTAGAATGCATTTAACATTCAAAATTCTTTCTGGAAGAAGAAAAGAACCCACCCTCACAAGAGCTGTGCATGAGAAGCCAAAGAAGGAACCATAGGGAAGACACAAACACACAAGGAAAACACAAGCAGACTCACAAGAAACACACATACAAGGAAGACACACGCTGCGCTTAGTTCTGGGTCCCACCTTTGAACAGGGCCTCAGGGTGAGTGGAAGGTAGTGAGACAGAGTGCCAAAGCGAAGACAGCCAGCGGCAGGGAAAAGGAGGCAGCACAGCTAAGCAAACACCGAACTAGGAAAAGAGAGTTTCTCTCCAAGATGAGGACTCTAAAAGACACAGCAGGTGGAAGAGGATTTGACTCCAAGGGCAGGTCTCGGAGGGACTTTCTGGGAAGTGGGTTTCAGTAAAGACTTTCTAATCATGACACCGGAATGGGCTTTACTGGGTTGCCAAGTGAGATCACAACCATCCCAGCAAGAAATGGTCCCCAGGGAAGTTAGGAGGGGCCCCGACAGAGGAAAGTCAGAATCCTGCACTGGGAGGGGACAGAGGACCTAACTTAGGGACCCTGTGTGGGCTGAGGCGGGACCTTGGGGAACACCCCTGAAACCAGCGCAGGGCCTCCGACAGCCCAGTCCCACCTGGGTCCCCCTGTGGGGCGCTACCGGGCCATTTTTGCTGAACCTGCTTTATTCTCTTTCACCTCCTCCCCTGCTCCCGCCAACAACGCGGATGAAATATGGCAGCTAAGGGAGAGAAAAGCGAACAAGGGAGTCAGACTGGAAATAAGTTTAAAGAGAGAACAGGACTCTTGTTCATTCAGCAAGCATATGATTTATTCTCTGCTGCAGATTAAAATCTATCAATTCCACAAGGACAAAACTATGACCTAATGAGGTCCAAACAAATAAAACAAAGTATCGGGGAAGAAAAAGGAAACATTTCTAGTCCTGGGAAGTTCAGCATGAGCTTAAGCCAACTGTGTCTCTCACTGGCTTCTGGAAAGGAGCTGTGGAATAATCTGGGAACTGGACTTGCACTCTGTCATGTACAGGAAACTACCCAAACCTAACCCAAGTTCCAGACCGAGGGAGCACCTGGAGCGGCGATGGCGTATGCTTGACTTTGCAAAGACTGCTTAACTTCTGTGATGGATCTGTTTAGCAGCTAGTGTTGAGGACGTGTGGAACACAGATGAGAATCCCGACTGCCATTTTAGAGAGGAGCAGACATGACAGCAGGACGCCTGGGGAGTGCTGAAGACCACGTCCTGAGCCAGAGATCTGGGTGTCATGGCAGGCGTGTGTGAGGATTAAGCTTTGGAGCAACCCTAGACTAGGGTTTCCAAACTTTAGCATGCATGGGAATTATGCAGAAGGCTTACTAAGTAGATTGCTGGGTTCAACTCCCAGAGTTTTTGACCGAACAGCCTGGCATGGGTCCCAAGAATTTGTATTTCTAACAAGGTTTCAAGGTGACACTGATTGTGCTGGTCTCAGAAACCATGTTACAGAACCACTACCTAAGATCAGTGGCTGTTCCCAGCTCTGACTACATCTGCACCTAATTAAAACATGGTGGCCTCTTCCCCACATCCTCCATCTCCCCAGATGTTAGCTTCATTACACAGGATCCATGCCTAGTGCCCTTCTGATTAAACTACCTCCGTGGACTCGGCCAAGCATTTCCCATGAAGACCACCCAGAAATCTCAGAAGGCTGCAAGTCCATCTCTGTGTACTTTCTGGATTCCCTGCGCTGTCCATGGGACAGACAATGGCCCATGCAAGCCTACAGAACTGGGGCCTTGGTTACTTTACAATTTTCTTTCTCTGTAGCCCCTAACGGCAACACAAATGTCTTAAGTCCCCTCCACTAATGAGGTCCAGATTTATAATGCTGAGTGCAGCCTTTTTAGAGCAGAAATCACAACTGGTGGGCATCCATTCACCAGAACTACAGTAAAATAAATCCTGGCTCTGTTAAAACAGAAGGAAAATGGGGGGAAAGTCTCTAATAAGAATAAGCTGGAAATTCAATGCTTACACAAATATATGCATCAACATTTACAATAATTACTCATTGCATCTGAAGCACTCCAAATGGCTGTATTGGCTAACAATGAAACATCAAAACTTGGCCATGTATTTTTAATTAGAATTATAATCTGGATATTTTTATTGAATCCAAACCCAGAAATCAATTATGAGGATTTTATAAATTCTTCTGATATGTAAATGTACCAAGTTAACGACCAAAAATGAGTGTACTTTTTAAAAATACTATGGTTTGAAATATAGTTAGAGGAACAAACAAGGATAGAGGCTAAATGTCTGTAGCAACCAATATTTGCACAACTATACACACATGCACAGTATGACTTAGCAAGTACTAACTCACTGATCCAGTGCTTCTCCCTAATCCCAACTTACTAAAGACGCTGAAGGTAAAGGGGACACAAATAATACGCTTCCAGTTTAGAGGAGGAGATACTATCATGCAAGGTGCAAAACGGGACACTGCACATCCACCCAACACGCTTCCAACAAGGGTGGGAGCATTTCAAGAGAAACGTGAGGGACGACGGTTCCGTGAGTACCTTCAGGGATTCAGCTAGGAAACGTTATCCTCAGACCCGCTCGTTTTTGAGCCTTGCACAGAGTAAATACCTAATATCTTGTTTATGCTCAGTTCATTTCCAGGCTGCGATCACTGCTGAGCCGCTTGCGACTGGCTACACTAACAAATCTTGGCATCGTCCTAAATCACACAGGTCACGATGGCTATTTTTCTTCCACTTCCAAGAACTTAGTGTTCATATATCTTTTCCGTGCACGGTTTCCCTCTGCAGTCTGTTTTTGGAGAGGAGTCAATTTTCTAGAGGCCCTTTCAGAAACGGTCTGTTGATGAGGGTCACAAAAACCTAGCTGCACCCTCCCAAGACGAGGCCCGTTTGCCAGTGATTAACAAGCAGCTCTCCGCCATCAAGCATATGGAGAAAGAACAACATTTGCAGGCGGTGGGGTGGGCTTTACCTCTTTGGCACCGCAGAAGGACACCAACTTCATTTTGTAATTAACCAGCATAAGCAGGAAGGGACTGAGAGCAGAGAAGCCTGAAGAGAGAGCCGAGAGAACAGCTGGAATCAAGACACACGCGGCCAAGTCTTTCAAGAAACAGACTAAGATAAAGTGCGAAATCCAAAGTGGAGTGATCAGCAACATTAATAAAATACTAAACTTGGCTCCTCTAAGGATTTCAACTTCTGAATCATCATCTCCGATCCAGATGTCACCATATGTCATCTTCTTTCTCTTGGAAAGGAGGAAAGACATCCAGAAACAGACGAAGACTAAGAAGGCTAAAGGCAGAACATCAATCAGAACTAAAAATATTTTCCCATAGTAAAGCTCTACCTGCTCATTTCCAAAGTCTATCAGGCAATCCACGTACATCCTGTTGGTGGACAAGGGGTCTGTACCATTTCCTGCGCTCGGGTTCTCTGCCTTTCTGGTGTAAACTGCCAGTGGGGTGTACACAGCCACACCAGCCACCCAAAGTGCAGACACCAGCCTCACGGAACGCTGCTGCTGCTCCAGGCTTGCAGCCTCTCTCAAGGGGTGGACGATTTGGTAAAGCTTCCGGTGGTACAGCAGCGCCAAGTGTAACATGAACCAGATGGCCAGAGAGGTTGTCAGGGCCGCTGTGAAGTGCAGAACCTTGCAGCCAGCTGAATCCGGCACAATCCCAGAAGAGTAAACAATCTTTATGACATTCACCACCAAGTTTTTAATAAGGTGGACGGATGCAAGACTGAAAATGAGAAGAAAGGATGTCTGTACACGTCCAGTGATGCACTTCCTGGTGGTGTAAAACAAACACGTGTTTCCCACACAGCTCACCAGGACCAGAACAGCACAGGCGATGAGTTCGAGCACGTCTGCAGAGGGCTTCATGGTCAACGCCAGACCAAACACCCCGTCCTCTTTAGCTTAAGTCATACAGCCTTTGGTGGACTTCTAGGAGGTCTTAAGTGAAAAGACCTGGATTAAAAAAAAGAAACCCACCGTGTCGACAACACCATCAAGTGGTAAGGACGATGGCTGAGACGGTCTAGAACAGAATCCTGCTGGCTCCAGCGTGTGCTGCTGGAAACAGAGCTTTCCCTAGAGGATTCTGTGTGCTTAACTTAACCATGACGATGAAGCTCTGGGTATCAGCTTTTAATTAAAGGTTCTCAGAAAGGTGTTTACAGTACAGTGATACAATTTCCTAGATACAGCACAATACGGCTTTCAAGAGGAAGAGGATGAGGTTAAATTTTTGCCAGCAAAGGAAAGGTGACCAGAGAAATCGTCCCATTCCACTCATGGGGAAAAATTAAAGTAGCAGGTTCCTGAATAACAGCAAAGATCCCAAAACGATGAGACTGAGCTGGGACACTGCTTCCTGTTCAGATGATCTCAAGGGCTTGTGAGGAATGCAAAGGAAGATGATAGAAAACACCCTCGAAAGAAGCAGGGGAGGGAACAGACGGGAGCAGGAAAGTGGGGGAGCGAAGAAGGGGAAAGAAAGGAAGAGACCCCTTCACAAGCATGGGCACTGTATCCACACCAAGCCTCGAAAGCACCGGTTACAGGAAAACTCGGCAACAAGGAGGTGGCTGGGGAGACGCTCCCACCCACGCACAAGGGGCTAGGAGAGGCCTTTGCACTCAGTATGAGCAGAGCACAGAGAACAGGCACGGAAACAGACTGTCAAGTAGTCTGGCGTGTACTCACTCTGGATGAATCCTGTTGAATCCTGTTTGCCTAGCGTATTCTAATGATCCACCGTGGAGACAAACTGCAGTAACGCATGGGCTAAGGGTGCGGGCACAGGCTGAGAAACAGGCCGTTAGGGGATGTCGTCTTGGTGCAGACCCCACAGAGCTACACTAATTCAGAAGCCTGCCACCTTGCGAGCTAATGCAATCTTACGAGTCCACAGTAGAGGTTCCCTAGAACATGGTTCCCTAGGACGATGTTGTCTGGCTCACGTTGTGCTTTCCTCTACAGCATTGTCTCCTAAGTCTTGTTGTCATCCCCTCACCCTGCCTCCGTCCCATTCTGCTGAAGTACAACTGGGAATGGCCTGCCCCAGTGGTGGGATGCAGCCAGCTTATATGGACTTGGGCAACTGGCACAACTCATGCCAGCTCTGTGCTCGATGACTTCACACTGACAGCTTGCAATTGGCCATACTGGGAGTATTTATGCCACAGAAACTGGCAAAAGCCACAAATCAGGACTTCTTTGTGTTTTACGAGTAGAACGTTGATCTGGGCAAAAAATACAAGGAAGAATAATAGGAAAATAGGTGATATTTAATCTACATAAAGATAATGTCAGTATTTGTTATCCATCAAGCTGTGAAGTCAAGTAATGGGAAATTCCTAGGGCCACACATGTAAGAGGCCCAGGACGGTTAAGCAGGCAGGAAAGTGGGCCGTGCAACCCCGCTGTGGAGGAGGCGGGGGCTGGGGACAGACACGTCCCATTAACCCCCTTTTCTCTCATGGGCTTCCCAGAGTTAGCCATCTCAGAGTCTCCACACAACATGTTCTTCTTTCCTTAGAAGCATCTACCATCTCAGCGTCAGTTACAATCAGTCACTGAGGCACCACCGTGTTTCTGATAATAACGAGGATGACAATAAACAGTAATATCACAGTGACAATGCACTGACCATTTATTTAACAGCAGCTTGCACCAGGCCCTGGGTTGGCATTTTGCTGCATCAATTTAATCTGATTTAATCCTTAACGTCACTCTTACAGATGAGGGAATGGCAGACTAGAGAGTAAAGCCAATTACCCAGAGCTACTGCCTGCTGAGGACAGGAATCCAAGCCAGGCCTCAGGAGCTCTGCACCACTGCTGTGCCACACACTGTCAGACCCAACGATTTACGATCGGTACACCCAAGACCCAGGGCTTTCTTGAATTTATCAGATGCAAGTCATGTGGATTTCTGAATGGCCCTTAGTCTCTTCTGTCTTTCAATGAGAACAATTCATGTTATAATAATCTCCAAGCGTTCTGTATGTGGGTTCAAGAAGCACAATTGGAAATGGAAAAAGGCCGTTTCCAGCCTTGGCAGGATTACACAGAGGCATGGTGACTGCTGGACTCAGTCTGCCAACAGTGAATGACAACCACAAATGGCAGGCACCACACAGCCCACCTTCACTGGGGACTTCACTCTGGGCTACTGGATTAAGAAAACAGCTCTGTGATGCTATGTCTCAAACTGTCCAGAGTAATTTACAGTACATAATACTGGCTTTTCAGACATAGAACTTGAGGGCTAATTATGAAAAATATTTTGTAAAACACAAAAAAAGCTTATATAAACATTTTTCTCTTAATAAAAAAGGATTTATTTATTTCAAAGGCAGAGTTACAGAGAGAGAGGGAGGGACAGAGAGAGATCTTCCATCCCCTGGTTCATCCCTCAAGTGGCCAGGAGCTTCATCCAGGTCTCCCATGTGGGTGCAGGGGCCCAGGCACTTGGGCCATCTTCCACTGCTTTCCCAGGCCATAGCAGGGAGATGGATGGGAAGTAGAGCAGCTGGGATGCTGGCATTGGTGGATTAACCCACTGTGCCCCAACGCCAGCATCAGCATTTGTTTTTTAAAGGGCTGGCAAACACGTATTATGTCCTTTTTTGTTAGGATGAGTGAAGTTTGTGCCATTTGTTTCCTTCAGTATTGTTTCTATAGTAGAGAAACAGCAAACATTAAATATAAAGGGAATAAGCTTTCTTTAAAATTAGATAGAGGGGAATAGATTTAATTTTTGTGAATATTTACTTAGCTGTTTACCAACAACCCACTGGATGCCCGGCATGGCCAGGCTGTCAGGACGGGACACAGCCATGGGAGACATTGTTCTCTGACATAAACAGGTACACAGTCTCATCATAAGGACATGTAAGTGCACAGTGTATTTGTATACATATTATGCCTATACACATATAACAGACAACATTTATAGTTTATTTATTTGAAAGGCAGTTATAGAGAGGCAGAGAGAGAGAGAGAGCGGTCTTCCATCTGTGATTCACTCCCCAAATAGCTGCAATGGCCAGAGATGAGCTGATCCAAAGCTACGAGCAAGGAGCTTCTTCCAGGTCTCCCACATGGGTGCAGGGGCCCAAGCACTTGGGCCCTCTTCCATTGCTTCCCCAGGCCATAGCATAGAGCTGTATAGGAAGTAGAGCAGCTGGGTCTTGAACTGGCACCCATATGGGATGTTGGCACTGAAGGTAGCAGTTTTACCCACTATGGCACAGCACCAGCCCCTACATTTATAATTTAATAAAAATACATAATAATAATACAAATGAATAATCCAGTGCAGTAAACCACATGATTGTTGAGTATAACGTTCAGAGAAGAGCAGGATCTGTGTGGGCAACACTGTTTTCAATCTGCAGCTCACAGTCAAAGAAATCCGAGCTTGGAAAAGTGAATCACTCGCCCTACTTGCACTAAACGCCAGGCCCCTGCGGCACACGGCTTTTCTGGAAAGGGAAGGGGAAGAGGAAGCAGCGCAGACGGGGCTGGAGGAAGAGGTGCTGGGGAACCTGCAGGCTTAGTCCCGGGTTCCTGAGCTGCCTGGATGAACTCCTTACAGCAGAAAGCCCACCTGTTAGGGGCAGGCCCAGGAAGCCATACGGCATCCTGGCCAGGCAAGGTAAGTGTGATGTGGACATTTCAGGGGGAGGGGAGGACGAACGAACGGGCCTGTGCAAGCCAAACACCAGCCCTGCCAATCCAAGCTCGCTGAGGTCATCTGAGAAGCGAGGAGCCAGAGGTCCTCTACAGCTTCCATTTACTTTGGCATAAGATGTGACAGGAGAGGGAACTGAGGGGGAATTTACATGGCACAGGCCGATTTCCAAATCCACACTGCTCGGCGTTATTTAGCATCTATCTGAATTCACAATCACGAGTGAAGGGGCTCGGATGCAACTGCTTTCCCTGTAGCTGAAAGTAAGCTGGGCTTGCACCCATGCCCACGTGCATTTCTGAGCGTGCCCCAGGCTCCCCTCGACTGCAGACTGCCGGTCAGAGCAGGCGGGAAACGCACTGCCTTCACCTGGGCATCACGCTCTCAGAGTAGCAGGAGGACAAACCAGCTACATGGGCTGAGGGGAGGGCATTTACTGCTTTAAACTGAGGATATGACAGAAATAAATGTCTTCTAGGAAGAGATGCCTGAAGCTTGATTCTAAGTCTGCATCTCTACAGGGCACTGACTCAGCTGAGTGGGGGTCAGGAGGAGCCCGCGTTCCTGAGTGCAGAGCTGGTGTGGTGGAACAGGGTCACTCGCTGACTCACAGACGCATGGAATGATCTGTTCCCTGCCACGGGAGCCCGGTATCTGCCTTTCCACATGGAAAAAAATGGAAGGAATTACCCAATCTCCTATGCTGGAGTCAGAGGCTGCCTCAAGTTATTTTTAATTCTCTCTGATGCAGTGATTTTGTGACCAGCCAGGGTAAAGACTCAAACCCTCGAACCCCAAATGAGAAGGGAGTGGAAGGGAACGACAGGCTGGCTGGGGCCAGAGCAATTAAACGCCAACTGCCTTCCAGATACAATAATGTTGCTAATTACACTGCTGTGCCAAGAGCTGGGAGACGCAGACAAGAGCTCCAGGCCGCTCTGGAGAGAAAGGAGCAGAGGTTTACTAAGCCTGACTCTGAGCTGGAGCCTCCATGTGTGGAAATCCTTAGAGTGACCCCCTCTCTCTGGGGCACCTCAAGAGTTAAGAAGGCCGAGTCCCTGGTCCAGTTCCAGCTGGTTCAGGACCTAGCAAGGAGCCCCACCAGCTTTGAGGGACTCCACAAGGCAGTGCGTGTCACGCAGTGTGACTTCTGGACACACAGGATTCAAAAGCTGCAAGACTCCTGGTCCCAGGGGAAGCTGAGAGAACCTGAGCACGGGGCCACGATGGGAAAGTCTGGGAGGATGAGGATCCCAGGGACAC